TCTTTTTTTTTTGGTTTTTAGCGTTTATTAACACATATCTTTTTGCTGTAAAGTGTTTGGACCCGGTGGTAAAATTTGATCATATAGTCTGATCGTATGGGTGAGAGTAGTAGACTGAGCGGAAGTCGTCGGGGTCGAGTGAAGGATTGTTGTCAGTCGAGTGCTTCAGGTTTCGGTTTCGTTTGTTGTGTGGATATCGTCATGAGTTGTTTGTATGATGCCTTTAGTTGTTGACGTCTGTTGAGGGGAGTCTGTGCCAAGTTAGTGAATCAGCTTCCCGCAGTTAGTCGTTAAAAATAGGTAGGCTGTAGGTCAATATCGTGCAGAGTCCCAGTCAATGGTGCGGTTACTGAGTCGATGAAGTTCATGAATGTGATCGCTGACGTCACCATTTCTCGCCATTCACCTGTGGTCCGTTAGCCTTGTGTTGACGTTCTTGCCAATCTCTCCGATGTAGGAGGCTTGGCAGTTGGAGCAGTTAATCGTGTCAACCGCTTCATGTCCGTTTTTCGGTTTGTACTTGTCCTTGACTAATCTTTGTTGTTGCTACCTAAGTTTACCATGCGGCTTCGCGTAAAAGAGGAAAGTTAACAACCTTTGCAACAAACTTTCCGACAGTTCCGAACTCAATAGACCTCAAGTGAAACGTCTGGTTTATCAACTGGAGGATGATTAAAGTAGATAGGTTGTCGAAGCGAAGTTTATAGTCTAACGTTTAAGTGGTGCCCCTGGCCTTCGTCGGAGAACTTTAGCCGCGCGAAAGCTGGCACATTAATTGTGAAAAGTGGCTTTGGGAGTTGATTGTTTTCGTTTGCCGAATCGAATCACAGCACCAGTTGAAACCCACTTAAAGGCTAACTTTGATAGAAGTTAATCCCCCCTGAAAAGAATCGAAAAAATTCCAGTTGAGTGTTCACATAGCTTGACAAAACTCTTTTAAATATTCTTGCAAAGTATAGAACCGGGGATCTGTGACAATTAGCGCTTTCATACATTGACTTAAAATGGATTGAACGATTTATAACCTTTGTTATACCATACTGTACAAGAGACCCAAGGAGCCATTAGCAGCTGGCCTTGTACTTGACCTGTAATGATAAGACACACATAGGAGGTGTGTGAAGGAGATAATGAATGTGGTCAAATTACTATCAAAGGTTTAGCCTTGTATTGTGATGCATATTCTATAATTTGTGTTTTTGAATAAAATTTAACCTTGTGAATACTTTACCAAGTTGCTAAGAAGATCAGAATCAATCAAATCCCAGAAAGTGACAAGATAACATTCTCCATCGGCTGATTATTGTGGTACGTATTTATGTACGTCGTGATCTTTTTTGAAGGTTTTGAGAAGAACAGATTGTCCTCTTTAAACCACGTTCTGCATAGCAGGGTCAGTTCTTGTAAGTTCAAATGTTTTTGTGTTTAATTAATCCTTTATTATTAACGTAGTGTGTGTGATTCATGAGACACACGAAGGACCCGGTGCACAAAACATTCGTAGTTTAAACATTGGAGAAGGTTTAAAACAACTATAGTGAAGAGTGCCTCACTGAAGCTAACATATCAATCCGAAACGACAACTGACTCACTTTGTGAGTATTTAATCAATCGTTCACTGCTTATAACAACTGAACATTAGTCGCGATACACCGGCTGTTTTTTCTGCGAAGATGAAGAATTGAATAATCATCCTCAACGTGGTGTTTTAAGAGCTGAAAATGACTGGAAAGTGCAATTGACATACAAGTTTTAGAGCTGTGAAGTAAGTTGTTTGTTTGCATAGTTGATGTAAGATGTTAATTGGATTAGTCAATGATGACCTTCAAATCTCTACCATTTAATTATCGATTCATTCGGGCGAAAGATGCGGATGTACGACCTCACACTGACACATTTCAGAAATGTGAAATCATTCAAAAGAGCCAAATAAGCGTCAGTGGATTCTCTAGGACTGTTACAGTGTTGTCCAGTGTAAGAGACTATCACATAAAGTCTATGTCTAATCGTTATTAGTTACTGGTTACAGTTTTCTGAACCTTTCAATAACGCGAATTTTAGGAATGAAAGACGACTGAATGTTACTCCGGAGAGCTGAATTATACCTCAATCACAATTTAGTAGTTTTGATAGAATTCAAAAGTAAAGTCATTTTTCATTTTTCGTGAATAAAGAGCCCGGTGCTTTTTACATTACATGCGTTACTCAAGTGTATTAGGGCCTGCCGTTTTTATCATGGAGATGGAGCTTTTAAAGAATCCGTCGGTTGGTTATCGGTCGTATGAAAGTATTACTTTTAAACTGGAACTTTCAACATAGTTTTATTTGACGACAATTTCTTTGAGGTGTTTCCTCAAATATTCCAGTTTCGATACGTCTGTTCCGTTGCAAATTAAATATTTACAGCTGTCAGCGTATTATGCAAAGATTTACATGAAGTTGCGCTTTGTTGGTTTAAATAGATGCGCGTTTTTCATTTAATTTCAAACCTACATGCGCAAGGTGAGCTTAATACTTCTTGAACTATTCTATGTTACTAGTCCACTCCGATTACTGGCTGAATCTTCCAACACCAACTGAAATAACTAATCAGATCTGTAAGCTGCCAGTGTCCTTATTTACAACATCGGTTGTACGATCTTTTTTGGGGAGAAAATATTGAAGGTTCTTTTTCAAAATTCACACAAAAGTTAGTGTAAATCTATTAGCGTTCCTCACAAAGACTGCAAGCTAATTGGTCACGATGATCGCTCTCTATTCCGTGATAGATGGTGTGCCTAAAAACGAAAAAGTAACATGAGCCTTCTTTATTATCTCATTGTAGTGTTCTGTTGCATGGCTGGCAGATTTACAGAGTATTTTCGGCTATTTTTAGCGAACTGAAGTCAGCTGCAAAGTTTCTCTTTATCAGCAGCTATTTGAATCATTCCAGAGAAGAAAAGAACTTAAAAAAGGCTGCACTGAAGAGTTTTGTATTCACTAATTGATCTTGATGTGCATGCACGCCTGAAGGAGTGGATTAAGAGAGGTTTTTTGGCCATTTACTTGCAAATGAAGCTTTACATACCACAGTCCTCGGGTGGACTGTGTCTCGTGGGTCGGTTGAGCCACAGACTCTACCTATGACAGCCTATTTTTAAGGAAGAGTTTTTACCACTGTTATTTGTTTTTTAAGTGGAAAATGGGTAATGTTGTGTGAATGTTATATGAAAACAAACCGAAATCATAAATGTTTTATCAAGTTTTAGTGGGAACAATCTATTTTTCTGCGGAATAATTGTCACAACAACAAAAAAAATCTTTTTTTGAGGTCTAGGCACTGGATATGTTTAATGTGAACTAATGGAAAATTGAAAGTTCCACAATGTGTGTTGAGAAAAATGACAGCTTCATTTGTCTTATTTGGTTGTCTAAAAAATACTTTTGCATGGCTCGTGGTAACCAGATTTTACTGAGTTTTTGGGGTCTGCTTCATCACCTCTGCATTTGTTTGTGGATATTGGTTACTTAGATTCTCCCAAAATTAAAATGAAATACCTGTTACGAGTTACATTAGCTATCATTGCACAGGCAGAGTATCAAACCCCGGTTTCTAATCTGGTAAATGAAGAAAGTGACAGATGTTAAGGAAGATAGCCCTGTTCATGGGCGAGTGTTCCTTTTTTTACTCCATTTTCGGGATTTCACTGTAACAGAAAGGATTGATGCAGCTAAAAGCCTGCCCACAAGTCATTGGAACACCGAAAAACACGCAAGAGACGCATTCTTGATATTCCTTTATACAGTTGAGCCGTATTAAGAGGGCACCCGCGGGGAGTAGCTTAATTCAGGTTCCTCAGAGTAGAGATATTTTAGAAAAAAAAATTATAAACAACGCCACATAGTGCCATAAATGACCTCTTAATGAACAGAATCTCGCTCGGAAAAACTACTTACTTTGAATTTGGGTGAGAAAAATAAATTGAAATTACTTGAAAGATTGTTCTTAGTTTTATTTAAATTCTCCTAGTTTCAGTGACTGTACAATACAGGTAGAGGACAACAAAAACAAGCCGTTGGCACTCAGTAAAACGTGATCACCACTGCTTGATGGAGGTGACCGCTTAATAGAGGAAACAAATTCAGAACTTTTGACCACTTAATACAGGGTGACCGCCTAATACGGTGCCGCTCATACAGGTTCAACTAATAACTTTGGCAGAACATTCCGCTCGGTACTGGTAGCCATGGTAATGATCAAGGTAATGATCAAGGAGTTTTAATATAAATATTTCTATTTGTCCGTGCTTTTCCAGGTGAACAATCCCATCTCCGTTGTCTCAATTGTGGCTAGTTTTCGGCTTTTTTTCCCTTTCGTTTGCATAAAAATTTAACTCTGGATAATTTGTATCCCTTTCTTTTCCATAATAACCCCAAATTTTATCGCAGCGTATTAAAAAACATCCACTCATGAATAAGTGTTTTTCGACACTACACCCACATGTATGTGGTGTTACAGAATATGTATAAGCTTTACTCTTCGTAACTTTTGGCAATAATTTACAGTAACATACCGAGGTGTTTACGGAAAGTTTTCGACATCACTATCCCTATTTTTTTTATTTATTTCGTAAATAAACTGTATTGGATCTGGTTCCTGTTTATGTATCATTTTGCGCAACAATTGATTGAACAAAAAGACTAATAGTCCACTTATAGATCCTTTTGAAGTGAAAACATGGTGAGCCTCTCAACTCCTCCTATTTGCCTATCAAGATCTCTTGATGTAACAGTGAGTTTATTTCGTAAGAAGTCTTGCGACACGTGAAATTTCAGCTTTGAAAGTCTCAAGTGAGACGGGAGCTAAATTTTCAAATGTAAATTACAGTATGGAGAACATTAAGAGGACTGTTCTATTGTTTTCTTGTACTTATGTTCTCCGTATGTTGGATATAATGCGAACCAAAACAATTTTTGTTTACTCAAGCACCTTTTAACGTTAAGTGGGTCAGTCAATCCATTCTATTTTTCTTTTATTTCGACTGTCGAAAATTCTTTTTTGGAAATTATTTCATGATTCAGAGATGATGATTAAGAGTTCCGTTTTTGCTTACCGAGTTATTTCTTGAGCATGAGGTTTTATCGGTTTGTTTCAGGACTTACTGGCTGATAGTGACGGCATATTCATTTTTAGTTTCACCTGTGTAAATAAACGAGCTCATAACATAAGCTTGCTGAAATGCGGACCAATACAATGAGATCTCACCAGTGACTTGATTAGACACTAATATGAAAACCTTTCATATTTGCGATGTTGTGAAGGTTTCAGTTGACAGCTACATCCTAAGTGAGCGGCACCAAACCACACTGGTCATGTTATGAGATAAACATATCCTTGGGAACTGAGATTTGCACGAAGAGGAAAGGGCTGAAGAGTCCTCGTAATGGAATCTTGCGGAAAATCCATTGGTAAATATAGTGTTTTTCTGAAGCGGCGCCAATAATTGTTACTGAAGCCTAGATATAATGCATAATACTTGTGTTTTAAGCCTTTTTTAGAAAAGGAAAACAACTTTTTTCAAGTTAATTGTTGAAAGGAGGATACACAAACTGTTAGAGGGAAATTTGAAACCATGCGAAATTCAAAAAACATTTTGATCAACTTTTTACGTTACACTTAACAGGAAAAATTATCTTCGCCTCAGAGAAGATAGAACAATGCTGTCTCTTACGGTTAAGAAAAAAGTTCGAAGTAAACGCCATTTCACGCATATTGTCTTCGTAAAAATCTATGGTTGTCTATGTCTTCAAAAGGAAATAGCGAAGACGTTCCAGAAGACTGTTTTTTAGGTTTTCAAATAGTTGATGCAATAGCGAGAGTAAGGGTAAGTAATGTAAAGAAAGACCGTAAATAATTTACATAAATTCAAGAAGAGGTTGTCGAACCATTTTAACAGCTTTAAAAAGTGTTAGGTAGAGATCGATTTTACAATGGGTTTTTGTCGCCAACGTGTCTTAATTCCTCGTCATAATCTGATATAAGAGCCATGCATACACAATTGTGGGCCTAATGTTTATGTTCGTCTCGACAAACTTGCCGGATAAAGGATATGCTGTTTTATTTCAGTTTAAGGAACTAAGTGAATCATTCGATAATAAATATGTTAATTATTTCCTTTTATCTGTCACGGGGAAAACCAATGGTCAAGGCCAGGAGAATTTTTTTTATGTTATTTGCGGATCTATTTTCTTATGAGCCTGAATCGGTAGGCTCAGGAAGCTCTTCGATCGCGGCATTTTTTCATGGGAGACGTGTCTTATAAGACTTCATCACATAATTGTTCCAATTATCATAAGGAAAAGGCGGATCACCGGGATGAAAGGTTGACGGTTTATCTCACATAATCCTTTCAGCACACCCATCTGGAAGTAAAATGTCAGCTGAATAATAATTACGACAAAAACCAAACCGCGCGCACATCACACATCCGATCGTTTAACTGGATGTCCAATAGAATCGTTTTTAATCGAGCAGTCGGGCACTAGTAGAAACATAAGGGAGAAGCTAGCTAGCGAGATGTCAATAGTGATAACTTAGAAGATAATTGTTCTAGGAACTCTATCATCTATTTTTTACACCAACTAAGGGGTTTTTCAGTTACAATATACAGGATACATTTTTACAAAGAGCCGGTTGTATCTTGATTTTTTTTATTTTCAAAGCTCAATCAGTTACTTTTCTCAATTTCTTGAATACCGGATCATTGATCGTCAGAACTTTTGTTGCACCTCAAGAGACCTCATGCAAATTAGCTATTGTCTTATTTAGTCGAACCATCAGAGCCATAGTTGATTTTCAGGCGTTCAGTTGCAGTTCTTAGCTTTGATTTGAATGAACTGAACTTTTCAAGTTCAATCTATTTATATAAGGTAATTGAAAATCCATTTAAACTGAAACCAGTTATCATATGTTGTTAGCGCACTTCCTTAGAGGAATTGGTGCTCGCAAATACTAGCCGAAGAACGTCTCGAAATAATCAATCTAATAAAAACGTCTTATACCAACTGGAGACATAGGAAAATTAAATAAGTTTTTTCTCGAATATTTAAGGAACTCTGCTACTGCGGATTGTATGTAGCCTCGCTGGCCCCTCAATTTACTGGATGATTTTTCCCAAGATATCAGTCATAGATTGATTTCTGATAAACCTTTGAAAAATAACGATAAACTTTTTCTCTTCATTTCACTTTATAAAAATGATTTACAGGCGGTGATAAAAAAGGGTGACTGTTTGAAATTATCACTTTTTGAAATCTCTGTATCGTTCGCACAGACTTAGGATAACTGGCCAGTCGAGTAGGTATAAATCACCAGAAGTAGCAGAATGACAAAAAGGACTAATCAAGATGGCAGACAAATTTTCTTTGACCTGAAGTACAAAGGCCTGCTTGAGTATTTGCGATTGTCAGCTAAGTGTTTAGGTGGGTGCACCTTTTATCAGGAATTCACTGCACATTCGTTAAAGCGAAATGAAAATGTTTATGCAGAAAGTCGAAGCTGAAATGACGTACACTTGTTACATGGTCGCTGGTTGAGGCAATTATCATTCTGATCAGTTAGATGTACCAACATCCTGCTCATGCAAGACACGAAAAAATCCATCAAACCCGGTTCTGCTACTGAAGTGTTTCTTTCTCGAGTTTAGCTCCTTTGATAAGATTTAAAGAATAAAAAACGAGACAAAAAGTATTCGTAACAGAAACTGTGGAAATGAAACACAAAGTACATCTTGCATAATGCACATAGAAGTAACTTTAAAGATGATTAAGGGGAAGGATTTCAAAACAGTTAAATACACAATACATAGTTTCCGAGTAAGAATGATACAATCTCCACTCTGATTTGGTCCATTATCTTAAACAACTGTTGAGGAAAATGTTGAGGAATATCATCTGATCGATCGCGAGTTCACTTATTCTGTACATAGGATAATAAGGGATGGTTACCTGACTCGCAGCATTCTTTGGAGACTGACCATATCGTGCGATCTTGGATTGTTATATTCTTATCTACATTTGTGATCATGAAGTTTGGGCGCAGCCGGTAGTCTGTCGAAAGGCAAGAATTATTGAGTTAACTTAAATCGAAGAACTGCTTGCTTCTCACTTACAATGACTTTTGTTTCAGGTTGCCTGTCAAACAACACCGCAAACCTCTCATTAACTGATGATGGTAAAACTGACGGTTACTTGAAGATGAGTCATCAGCTTCTCATTCCATGGGCCGTTGCGTACTCTGCCGTTGCTGTTGTTATCCTGTTTGGTAATATTCTTGTGATCGTATCATTTGCAAAGAAGACTATTCTACGATCTCACACCAACTACTTCATTGTTTCATTGGCAGCAACTGACACTTTCGTTGGATTGATCTCCATTCCATGGTGGATTATTGTTCTGTTTATAACTTATAAAAAAGAGACATGGTTTACATATTTGCACGATATCTGGGTAATATTCGACATCCTAGGAGGTATTGGTTCAATATTGCACCTGGTTGCCTTAAGCTGGGATAGATTTTGTGCTATTGTCTGGCCTTTAAGCCATCGTATTTACACCGGCAGACGTTATTTGCTTATTTTAGCCTTGATTTGGTCGGTTACAATCCCAGTTGCAGTATGTTCTAAACCGGGAATGGCATCAGCACCGAAGGCATACAATGTTACGGTCATAGTTGTCTGTTTCTTCATTCCACTAGTTATCATCTGTGTCTCACAAGCTTTTTTAGTAACTTTTATTCGAAAAAACAGAATACAAAACTTTTACAAGCTTAGAAGGAGTATTCGAAAAGAGGTCCGCGTTGCTAAGACAGTGATAATGATGATCGCATTATTTATGATTGGTTGGCTTCCTTTCTTCACACTCTCCTTGGTGACTTACATCAGACCGGAGGTGCAGCCATCATGGCAAGCAATCTGCGCCGTCAAGTTTCTCCAGTATGGAAACTCGGTTGTTAATCCAGTTCTGTATGCTCACAAATTTCCTCATTTTCGCAAAGCTTTTTCAGCCTTACTTTGTCCTTGCCGCGAAGTTACCAAAAAGGTGCGCAACGTTGGAGAAACTTTTAGAGCAATAATGTATTCCATGATACCTGGTTCGATTCGAAATAAAACTATTCATAGGTACTTGGCAGACAGACGGCTTGGAGATAATAAAGCAAATAGCTCAAACATAGATTCATCAAAGCAAAACTCATCAAATGACACTGCTCCAATTGGTGAACCCTCTCTTGAGGAAATCGAGCTTTGTGAGAGCCACCTAAATATCTTTCCTTAAAAAGACATCAATATTAGTTATTGACGAAAGCTTCTTGTTATGTTCCACAGTAAAAGGAATTATTTTATCGTGTAACATCGTCATTAGGTTTAGCTTTGCTTTCGTTTAACAAATTCAGTGGCTGAACCCCAAATTAGAACTGATAAAAAAAAGCGTGGTAAGGAGAAATCTGACACGAGCAAAACATAAGAGCGATCGGGGATCTATAAATATATTCACCGCCTTTCACTGCAGCATTAAACGCTTCATATATGTATTTTCAACACAATTCTTAAATGGCTTCGTTATATTTGACCAGCAGTTTTTTTAATGGATCGTAGTTGCCATCCTTATTCATTCTTATCCTTAAAATTGGGTTGGAGTGCCAAATTATTTCTCAACATGAGATCATGAGATCAATTTTTATAACAATCAAGGCTACCTTAAAAACACTGAGCCTTCTTAAAACAACCTTTTTCGATGAGTTTTGTGCCTTTAACACAAAAACGGGCTCCGTGAACCCTGAATAATAATAAACAAATCAGACCCATCCTATATAGATGATTTAAGATGACTCTGAACCCTACGTATACAGACGTCTTTTAAACTGATTAAAAGTTCGCGACAATTTGCTGGATTTACCTCAGGCATATTTGAAAGGGAACATTAAAAACAATTTTCTATTGTCAATCCACCAAGAAAATTGGGATTTCAAGTTAACGAAACCACTTTGCGCTACTTTAAGGCGTGGGCCAGGTTGTGCTCGCATGGTTGAACAACAATTCTCAAGTTGTCCACCTGAAAGGCAAAGTGCGAGAAGAACTATAATATTCTGCTAAACCTCCCAAACAGAAACATGGAGTACGACAAAAAGTATCGTTTTGTCACAGTCGCTACGCATTAATGTAATATCAGCCTGGTTCCATAAGGCATTCTGTATATGTACAAATCTAAACATCTCTGCGCATGACGTCTAGAATATTTACCAGGTTAATTTATAGTATAAAAATGCCGAATGTTTCGTGATAAAGCCAACTCGTCACAAACTAAAGCCAAGCGGTTAATCAACGAGCAAAGAAATTAGAGAGAGAAAGGAAATGTCAGAAAGTTATTTCCGTCCATACGGGGATATTATAAATAAATTACACGCGCGCTACAACTGGTCGTTTAGGAGCCGTAAGTATCCCTGTTGATTTTAGTTCGCAGTGGCGTACTTTTCCTCCTAGTCGAGTCTCTACTAAGTCTAGGATCAATGCATTCTCTTAGTCAAGGGGCCAAAAATTTCTTCAAAATGATTTTTAAAAATTTCCGAATTGATTTCTAACTCGCATTGACGCGATTCGCGCCTGTTATCGCTACATACTCACCATACTTATATTTTTGACTGCGGCCTGCTTTGTCATGTTCTCAGTCATACTGAGGGTCAGAAATAAGTACTTTGTTTTTTGCCCATTTTTTCAGCATAGGATTTCAACTGCAATTTCAGGTGAACTCAAGCTCTCCGGGTGACTCAAGAAGTAGGGAAAACACTCGACCACGTCCTGCAGCTTCCTAAGTGCTGGACAACAGAACAGAGCACACTCGAGACTTCTTTGTTTGTTACAGAGACATTTTTTAAATCTTTATTCGATATATGTTTGTTTTATTCCTTTTTTAACCGTCACGACGTCGACGTTTTCTCAACAACCAATACGAGAACAAAGCATATGCAGAAGATATGCAGCAATATTCATTGCATGGCTATGAGATGATATTGAGTAAATTGTCAAATATCGTCTTGGTTTCTGCTTTGTTTGCGCCTTAACTGTACATTACGTTGCTTTTAGACTAGTGTAAGAAAATGCTCAGTTGTTTTTCGACCTGTATTGATCATTTGCTTACCTTTAAGGATACCATATCAACAATACAGTCTTTTATAACCAACTTTAATTTTAGTTTTATGTACCTGTAACTAAATAACGAGTCAGGTGACCCCCCGATTATTTATTACTGACTTCCAATCAGCATATCAAGAGTTTTAATGTTGCATAGTCTCAGAAAAATATGTTCCTACATTTGAGAACCTCCTTAACATATAAAAAGATAAGGTCGCCACCCGTCGAGTTCGCTACATGTTCGCTACTAACATGCCGAATTCGCTGCCTCTGTTAATTCACAGTTTTAATTTATCTTTTGACCATAAACCACGAGCCATATCTGTAATTGATACTAGCCATTAACAGTCGTTTTTCCAGGTATGCCATTAAATGACAGAGAAAGCACCTGGTGTCTTAGTTCCCATAGCGACGCCATTGTGAGCGATGCGCGGGCTCGATGATAACTAAGATAATATGCTAAAACATGGCGCCTTTTTCAGGTTGAGTAAGGCAGATTTCTTTAAAATAAGATGTTGTTCCCTCAAGATGTCGTTTCTAAAAGATCGTGGTAGTAGAATGATGGAATGGTAGGATGAAGTAAGTAGCGAATTCGGCTTGTCAGTAGCGAACATGTAGCGAACCCGAACATGTAGCGAACCCGAACATGTAGCGAACCCGAACATGTAGCGAACCCGAACAAGTAGCGAACCCGAACGTAGCTTACTCGACAAGTAGCGAAACCGGCTGTTACCCTCTGTAACAGTCTTTTTTTTTAATCTTTGAAAAGATTTACCTGACTACATCTTAACAACTAAAAAATCGTTTAAAACCTTTTCAGGAAATAAAAGAAAACTCTTTGAAGCTAAGGAATATCAAAGAATTACTAATTGAAAACAGCAAAACCATCCATCCAGACCATTGATTCTCTTTTCGATAATGAGAATAACAGGCGATACCATGCGAGGAAAATAATATTGGTGCAACTTGCCCTCTTGTAGTAGCTTGGCACTGATATTGTCCGTTATTGTTTTGCAGAGAGAATATTGTTTGTAGAAACATTTAAATTCAAAAGTGTTCCTTTTCACTGGAAATGTTACAATGATACTGCTTTTGAGCTACTGTACCCCAATGTCGTTGACTACACCATAGATGTAAAAGTCAAGTTTTTAGACTTGCGAAAAGGTCTTGACGTTTTTCCTTTGCTCCCTGACGTCGATGATTTCATCAAGGGATCTGCTGAGTTGACAAGCAAAGAAAAGCAGTGAAAGGGAGGGTTGTCGATGAGTCGGAATCTAACTAAAGCTATGTCTTCATTTGGAGCTAAAGGATACTCCGGATTTTCTAAATAATTAGTTTTTTGACACCTCAACCAATGACCACACAGCTCCACGAATGCTTGGTAACAACCAGGGATCCTCAAGGTGTATATGATAGGATTTGCAAGCGAACTACTGTATTGAAGTACCTTGAACACAAGAATAAGCTCGTATTCAATATCAACACATGAATGGCACGCCCAGTATGCAAAATTCAGGCCAAAGAATGGAGCCCAAGCGACTATGAAACAACCAATGATTAATAATATCGCTTTGGCGAGACGAGTGTCTTTCTCGGCGCTCTGAGTCTGACGGGTATTCAGTCTAACACTTTTTAAAGCAATGAAAAACATAGCCAAGTAGACAAAAAGGATTACTGTTAAAGGCAACACAAAAGATACCATGGAAACAAACAGTGTATAATGGGGCCATCTAGAGGCCTCCGTCACAGTTATACAACTCAGTGCTACTGATATGCTCCAAACGAGGACAATAAGACAGAAATATGGCCTTTTGGAGGATACACGATGAAGAAATGGCCAGCCAACAGCATAAAACCTTTCTATACTTATCATCATTAAATACCAAATAGATGCTGTTGCGCCAAAAACATCAATAGCATTCCATAGAGTGTACACGAAATTAGGAAACTCCACTGAATTTGCGAGGATGTAGATAAACGAAGGTATTCCAACACTACCCACTATGATGTCAGAAAAGGCGAGACTCATGAGAAAATAAACAGCTCGAGTATGTAATTTCCGTTTTCTGAGAAAAAGTGAAGCAGCAGTAACGTTCCCCAGTACAACGCCAGTTGAAATAATCGAAAATATAATGCAAAATGTAATTCTGATGGCGATGCTCAGACGGATCAGTTCCTGTATAGGTTCTGAAGAATGAGTTGTATTGAAGATGCTTGACCAGTTAACGGATGGCAACTCGGTAGAAATCGTCATTTCTTTCCTTCTTGATAAACTGCCTTTGGCAAGAATGAAGTGAGTTTTTTGAACCTGACTTTATTTGGTGTCCTCCTGTTTTTTCTAAACAATAAGCGGGCAAAATATGTCATTTTTTAAAAAACAATTCATCAATTTTTATATGAATAACATTCCCTCACATTCCCATCCCCATAATCAAGAAAAGTTTCTGTTATTCCTTTTTCTGTTAGTCAGCCACATCCTCACTAATATTTTCCCTAAAGTGTTAATCGTGGAGGCTTGTTTGTCCAATGCAGCCGGAGTACTGATTGTGCTCAAAGATTAATTTATTCACATTCTACAACAGTTACAGCAAATAAATTGAAGGGGCTTTAACGAGATTGAAATTTGTCACTATCCTGGGGAAAAGAGACCGTAAAATCAGTTTTCGTTCTTTGAAGAACATGGTAAGGAGGTTATGTATTGTATACCCACACTTAATTTTTTTTCGTTAACTAACTGATTAGTCCTTTATAGCTGAGTTCAAATCTGTGTTGACTGCTAAAATGTTTTTCTTACCTTAAGGTGGTTATGAGGAATTCTTACATTGCCTCCCTAAACCAGAGCGAAACTTGAATTTGTAGCCTTCGCCTACATCACACCCTGTTCATTGTCACTAAGGAATCATGGCTTTCTTTTGTGCTTGAAGTAATAAACACTGTCTTACTTTGCAGAAAATAAACAATTATGGCAAACAGAGAGGCAGATTAAGGAAATCTAGAACTTAGCTCTTTTAACAAGATGCCACCGGAGCTAATTTGCGAAGCTACTGTCTGGCGTACGGGCTCTCGTTTTTATCGCCGATTTGCTCGAAGAAATTTGTTATAATTCCGAAATGGAGAGCTGTAAATCAAAATATTGAAATAGACGTTATCAAAGATTCTATTATCACTTCCAAAGGGAATTCAACATCGAGATGTAGATTTTTCTTAGTTATAGGTTATTAATTAGTGGAGAAAAAAGACCGATGCGAGAAGAGCAAATCAGCTTTATCGTTGCCGGGTTGTTCTTTGTGTTGCGATACCTTTTCAATTTATATTGGCAAATAAACGCATTTGTTCAACCGCAACTGTCATTTACCAACAATGTAAACTGTCCACAACCTTCACCTTTATGAAAATTATTACA